GAAGAGGTCTCCAATTTCTACCAGGAAATCCAATCTTGTCCTCCCAGCACTTCGCTTGTGTGATCCCGTTACATGTTTAGACAGGTTTCAGTAGGCCTAACACCCATTGTAACCCTCTCTGTATCTTACAACATTACAGTAGGGTCGGTGGTTCAAACCGTTTGTTTTCAACCGCTACAACCCGGGATCAAATTACACACATTGGACACTTTTTGTTTTAATTTTTAAAAAAATCTCCAATGTTTTTAGACAATTATCAATATAATTGATTCTTCTAATCAATTGTTACAGAAAAAATGATAAATAAAGGGTAACATATAATAAAGAGATATAAAGGGTAAAATATATATATAATGTAGGGAAATATATATAGTTGTATATGTACAAATTTCTTCAGCAAGGAAGGCTTCCCCACCTTGAGAGAGTCCTCCTCCAGACAAGGTTTAGATACCCTCGAATTTCTCCTTCGAAAAAAATAAAGATGGGAAAAAAATGATTATCATTGTCCTTGAAAAGGGTGGAATGATCTTCAGACCTAAACACATATGCAGTTAGCACCCTCTTGAGAAGGACCCAACACATATACATTTGTAAATTAAATTTAATTGCCATCTATCGTTAAAATTTTACACAAATAAATGTACCTCTACAGACCTATAAGCTTATGTCCATAGTTCACTAAACACCCCTAAACTGCCTTCCATAGAAAATACAGGGTATATCCCAATCCAATACAATAGTAGAGCGGTCTAGAGATTAATTTGGCGAAACCGCTGAGAGGGTTCACTACTGATGAGCCAAGCCCTCTCATTCAATAACTCATATCATCGCAGTAAGGTCTGTAGAGATAATATTTGATGATATTTAAAAGAAACGCATTGCCAGTAAATTTATTTGTGTAAAATTTTAACATATACATTTATTCTCCTCTTGAGTTTTATTAGATGACCCACTATATATAGGTCTAAAATTCCCACCCATCCAGATGACGTTCTATAGCTAAGCCTACCCTGTATGTACAGGACTACCTCACCAGGTTCGGGTACTTGCCCGACGCCAGCCAGCCCGGGGGCACGGGAGAGAACCTGCGGGCCGAGAGCCACCTGCGAGAGGCCATCCGCTCCATGCAGAGGTTCGGCAACCTGAACCAGACCGGGGTTCTCGACCCGCCCACCCTGGCTCTCATGGCCAGGAAGCGCTGCGGCGTGCCCGACCTGGATCCTGACGACCGCGGCGGTAGCAGGGTACGGAGGTACACCCTGCAGGGACAGAAGTGGACCAAGACCGAAATCACATGGGGGTAAGTCAGTAACTACCTACCTGTTTGCATATCTCTTATATTAATATACGCACCTTCAAATGCATATATAGGTATGCAAATAATCGCGTACATAAGCATGCATACCTACTGTTTGTATATCCCCTATATATTCATATTCGCACCTTCAAATATGCACATAGGTATGCAAATAATTGCGTACATAGGCATACATACATACCTGTTTGTATATCTTCCTATATTTGCATGCTCACATTAAAAGGGTACATAGGTATGCAAATAAGCGCGCATATAGGCATACATATCTACCTGTTTGTCTTTATATATCTCCCAATATTTGCATACTCACCTTCAAATGCGTACATAGGTATGTAAATAAGAAAACACATAAGCATATATACACAGGCAGATACTCGAATAAACATACCTGTATACCAATGACCCTAAAAACAGTTTGAACCATCAAAAGACACACATTTAGATGTTTTTCACTAAAAGAAGCACCTCAAGCACAAATATAAGCATCAACAAACAAACACCAATAAACACATATATTAAATAACGGATGAGCCAAGACATTCGTTATCATTCCTCTTTTTCTAATAGTAGAATATGTTTTAATACTAAATGTGTCAAATCTCAGTATATATTTACATATAACCAAGAAATTGGTGTGGTCAAATATCTTTGGAACAAGCTAAATCAACGTTTAGTTGACTTTTGTTCCACTAGATGGCGCTCTGCCGAGCGGTCAGGAAATTCCAATTTTGTTTTTAATATGAAGTACCGTATGAGGCGATAGGTCGAGGGAATTTCCTCCGGCGGTTTGATTGTGCAAATTATAATTGTGGAAAATTTAATAATATTTGCATACAGGCATTACCCGTAATTTCAAACAAAGAGTATCTACTGTAGATAAAAGGAAACAACCAGCCATTTAATCACTATAACGATGGAATTGTAAAGCGCCTATATGTAAAGGTTGAAAGATGTGTGCAAATAAGTCTCTTTATTATGCAACTTTAAAAAACAAGTTATCAAATCAAAGCTCTTTTACGGTCCTCTTGTTTAATTACAAGTTGGAAAAAATATTTGTAACACCATCCTATATATAACTACAATATTAGCGCATTATGTGATTTAAAAAAAAATGGATATAAAATATTTAAAATTAATAAATTGAGAGATAAGTAAAATACAACTCAATGAACTTTTTTACATGTTTGGAAGACTATTGAAGTAGTTCAATAAATCCTGATAGTGGTTGTTGATATGAAAATGTTTTAATTGCTGTTTTTGTATATCTCCTGTTGAACTTATTATGTTAAATAATACAAACAACTCTAAGAAAAAATATTTGGTATTTATTGAGGATGTTGTTATAGTGAGATATACTGCCTTTTCCAGGTTAATTTGTTTGCCGGTCTATGAAATATGTTTATAACGCACGCATAGTCAAACATGTTTACAAAAATTGTCAACTCCATAATATATTTTTCTATTTCCATCTCAGTTTCCAGGTGTTACATTCAAGTTACCTTGTTCTGGCTATTTACAAATGGTGAGTTGGTGGAGTAGAGGTGGTCCTTCTCTCAGACCTTGCAGCTGTTGGGTGATGAGCTCCTAACTAAGAGCCGAGTCGTTAGAAACGAGGATTGATATCCCTTTTATTGCAAAGAATATTTTGTATAGTTATATGTCATGCAAATTACAAATTTTAAAAAGAATTGAGCAATAATTAATTCGTTGAGATCAAAACCATGTTTTAAAGCTCTTTAAAAACACAGTCCTGAAATATCGAAGTCAAATATTATTAATTGCTTCACAGAATATTATGATTTTTATTGACCTTTGCGCTTTATGCGAGGAAATATTTATAATTATTTAGTAAATATATGTATAATGTATACATACATATAGTTTTAAAAAATAGATGTCAGAATCAGGATAGATACGAAAAGTACCGAAATTTTAAACGAATTATTCTATGAGATAATTATAGACAGAAGATAAGAGTGAAAAGCGCGGGAAAAGGCAGACGATGGTGACCTGCGTGACCAGTCGTTTGCGTGGTTACTGTAAGGTCGTAGCAGACGAACACTTGTGGTAATTTTTATGTCGTAACGCAACGCCTTTTTATAACTACAGTATCTAGATATACCACCGTTTTTTTACAACTATTTTTTTATGTCCTCATTTTTTAAAACTTTGCTCTCCTTACCACGCCTCTTGAAGAAAACTGTGACGTATTATTAGGGTGATAATAAGCTATATTTATATATCGAAGCCTTTTTTTTTATCATTTTATTTTATTTTTGAAGATGTTATATAAGATTTTTTTTGTAAATTGTAATGTCTATTTGTTTCCTTAATATTGTTTTAGAATCTTAAAGTGTTTCGATATTGGCTTCTTTTTTTTTTTTTCAAGATTAATATTTTATAATAATATAAATACAATTAAAATATATATAGGACGCTTCCCATTATATGATTAAAGACAAAGTTTTCAATTTATTTTATTTCTCTCTTTAACCATTCTATATACAGTTACGAGCGTCATTCCTCATCTCCTAATCAACAATCAGTCATCCGTTTTCATCTCTGTCACCGTTTGCTTTTTTTTTTTTGGAATGGCGCTCTCCTATTGGTTGGCTACGGTCACGCCACCTTTGTCCCCCCTCTTCATGCCCCCCCCCCCCCCCCCCCCCCCCCCCCCCCCCCCCACTCGCTATTTCGTTTTTGTAACTATTGTGTTGGAGCGGGTCGCTCCTTAAATAAATGCATATATTAGTTAATAACCAAATGGAATCCTCTCTTTCTTTTTCCCAGTAAGAGACGCCTACGGAAGCCAACAGTACATAGACAGATAAAGCACATAGGCTATAGTTATTAACTAATATATGCATTTATTTAAGGCGCCAATTTATAATTGTAACAAATAGTATTTGAATAAAAACATTCAATCGGGTAAAACACGGGCGTTGCCCGGGTCATTCGGCTACTAGTCTATAAACATGACTAAACCTGGTCTCTTATTGGAGGTTGGGTTATACAGTAGTCTCCCATGAGAGACCATAGCCTACAAACATGACTAAACCTGGTCTCTCCTGGAGGTAGTCTTATCACATGACAGAGTCTTCCCATGAGAGACCATAGTCTAGAAGCTGATATTTCTCGGAGGTAGACATCGGATACTTTTTTTTTTTTTTAGATGAAAGACTCCTCATGACAATCTTTGTGTTGTATATATATATTTTAAGTTTAATTATAATTATTTGTTACCACAGAGTATATATGTGTAAGATCACAAGTAAATAGGCACTAACTGTAAGAAGAAAAGTTTCTCTTTGTTTACTATGTTATAAGTTTTATTTTACGATGTACTAGAGCGCCATCTGTTATCAAATTATAAAACTATTTTAGAGGCGTAATATTCTTTTTAAAGAATATTACGCCTCTAAAATAGTTTTATAAGTTTTATTTTGTTCTCTCTCTTGTAAAACAATAATGTTTGATTAATTTTCTTGGAATCTGTATCTTTAAAAATTTTAAACTGGCGAAACCTCTGAGAGAGTTTACCAACTGATGAGCCAGGCCCTCCTATTAATTTTTCTATTGCAGTAAGGGTAGTATAAATTGTTTAATATTTAAAAAAATCATACGCGTCTATAACATTCTCGTCTATATTACTCCATGTATTATTTACGAATGGAAAAATATGTCCAGGGTAGCCTAGTGGACATGGCACCTGCCCGGTAAGCGGAACACTGTGGGTTCGATTCCCATCCCTGGACACTTTTATTTTTCCGTTTATCATTGCTCTTCACAGTTTATCCTTTCATACCTCGTTCTTAAGGTTGGATATAGTCGTTGTTTCTCCTTAAAAATTTTTTTTTTCTTCGTTGAAAAGAAACACTTGCGATATGGTTTTCAAATGTCGTTTTACAATCACAAGTCGCATTATATTGTATTATAATAGTTTCGAATTTTTAAAAAGTCTAAGCAAACACTTTGATATGAGATCACTTTCAGGGAAAAACTATTTTTAGCCGTTTGTAGACAGTTACTTACAGGGTATTCTACTGTACCAAGAACTGGGATGAAGACATACGAAGATATAATTTAACCAAACGAACGTCAAAAAGAGAAGCAGCAGATTTGTAGACCGTGAAGCGACATAGAAGACAACGGGTGGGGTACCTGGTGAGTGTCACCCCCTGTCCCGCCGGATGTCCCCGAAATAACCCGCGACAGTCTCTCGGAACACCGTCTATCGGTGGACAGAGATTTGCCTTACTTACTTCTTAGTAGAACAGCTTGAATTTGGTTATCTCGTGTGTCTTCAATAAAGGCCACTTTAATATCTTTCAGAGTTATTGTCTCAAGTGTTATTGCCTGAATCCCGATATACATGGTAAAAGGTTCAACTTCCTTAAGTTTTGTTCATAAGTGTATCTTTCAGAGTTATTGTCTCAATCCTCGATATACATGTTAAAAAGGTAAAACTTCCTTAAGTTTTGTCCATGAGTGTATATTGGTTATCTCGTGTGTCTTCAATAAAGGTCACTGTAATATCTTTCAGAGTTAGTGTCTCAATCCCGATATACATGCTAAAAGATACAACTTCCTTAAATTTTGTTCATAAGTGTATATTTCAGAGTTATTGTCTGAATTCCGATATACATGCTAAAAGGTACAACTTCCTTAAGTTTTGTCCATGATTGTATCTTTCAGAGTTATTATCTGAATCCCGATATACATTCTGAAAGGTACAACTTCCTTAAATTTTGTTCATAAGTGTATATTTCAGAGTTATTGTCTGAATCCCGATATACATGCTGAAAGGTACAACTTCCTCAAGTTTTGTCTCTATGAATGTACTTTATTGGGAACTTTCGGATCTTGCTCTTTCTCATCCTGTATTTAAAATAAATAGAAGATTCCTTTTTAACTACCGGTTTATAAATAGAAAGACACGAAAGTTCTTAATACTATATACATATATATATATTTATAAAGAAACTTGTGGTAAACCATTTATGTAATTTTTTATTAACCTTTTATATCCCGAAATTGCCAAAATTTTCATCAAATCATCATCTATATAATCTATATCATATTATATTTATATAGAAATAGATTTCAATCAAAACAACTAAAATAAATTTTCCAAGAAATTAAAAAAACAAAAATCCTTTTCATTGACATTTCGGTGAATATCTTTCACCATTATCAATATAAAATAATGCCTTTAATCTAACCTTTAATTTTTTTCTAGTTTTTTTAATAGGAAAGAGCTTGATTGAAACGCCCATAAAATAAAAGATGTTCTTCTCTATAGCAGAAGTGTCGAATAACTTCGACCATTAATACAAGAGGGAAATATGCAACAGTGGAGCCATGACCTGGTTTGTCGCGGAACTCTAATTGTATGCAAATTTGTCATAAAGGAAATATCAGCAACAAATCTCTCTCTTTCTCTGATGCACTGTAATTCCTATCGTAGTATTTCCGCGACTGTATCCAATCACCAATGGATAAAATCATAATTGTTTATACAACAAAAATCTTTATTAAGACCTTTTAGTCTTATACAGATTCTCCAAGCACAGAAATATAATGTACATGCAGGAATACAATTGTTTATAAACAAATTCTAAATCATTTTAAAAATATAAAGAGAAGAGCTCAAGAAATAGAGAAGTATGGCTTTGATGATGACCAAGACTAAAGAACAGGAAAACTTAAGAATACATCATCTAAATGCATCTATAGTGTTGTGTCTTTGGATATTTGCTCTTTGCATATTTGTTCTTTGTGTAGCACAATTTACATAGTTTAAAATTTAACATATTTTTACTATAAATAGGACGCATGAATTAAGTTGAGAAGTCCAGTTCAGTCTTAGGAATAGAGTAGTCTTGTTGCCTTAAACTCCTTTTGCTACTGTAGTTGTAACTTGATAATTAAAGAATATTTTTTCAAGTATAAGAGTGGTTCCGTGGCCCAGAGCGACACGACATATAGAAACATAGTTTTATCTATGTACCAAAAGAGGTACCTCTCCCTTTATAATATGAATTAGAGAAAAGATGCATTATTTTTATCAAAGTGATAAAAAAAAACTTTACTAGTGGCGATAAGAAATGATCGACAACACCAGTTTAGGAAAATTCAGACAGTTTTACCTATTTGAACTAAGGTTAGTCCTGTTCAGTCATTGAGATATATCAAGAGCTACAACAATGTAAACAGGGACGTCGGGAGTTTAACTCCTGGTAGGGCCACCCTGTACCCGGCTAATGTATCAATTGTCTGTTCTCCATAGGAGCGGCTCCATGTCAGGAGACCAAAAGAAGCAAAGTCATACGAAGTTGTACTTCCAGGTCTTTCAGACCAACAACACCCCTATTTCCTTCTCCAATAATAGAAAATCTGAGACAATAGATTGAAATTGAAATTGAAACTGATTTATTACAATGTCCATATAAGATTATATACTGTATTGTTGTTGTTGTCATGTCCAAAGAAGAGTCTCAGATGTCTCCATGCATCTCCATCACAGCAGCAGCAATATCCACTATCTTGGGTGTGTAAAGCTGCTGCTCTGGGTCCATGTCAAATTATAAAAGGTTAAATACAGAATAAATATGAATAAATAAGATTATATAATGATAAATATATGAATGAATAGATATAAATATATAAAATAATTCAAATGTCATTATCTTAGCCTACTAAGTCTTGGTACTGGGGGGTCGGTGGAAGGATGGTTTAAACCGTTGGTTTTCGACCGCTACGACCCGGGTTCGATTCCCGCTTTGGGTACTTTTTTCTGATAAAAAAAAAAAGCTCCATACAATAGAACCTTAAAACCTAATGGAGATCATTTAAACGACTTGAGGAAACAACAACAGCTACAGCAATGAAACCTTCCACCATTCTACTGACCGATTAAACTGATCACTATGGCCAAAGAGCGAACAAAGAGGAACACATACTCACGTGACCTGAAGCCAAAATGGGGAAAACCATCGTCTGCTACATGTCAAGCAAAAGACGAAGCAGACGCCAAGCTAGAAGAGAACTTACACCTGCAGTGGTGCCAGACTGTACCATGCCGTGATCATATTCCATTCCTCCCCTATTGGAAACGAGTCTTTTCCCTTTTTAGTCTTCAAAAAAAAACCACGTTCTGACGTTTGAGGCCAAAAACCTAATATGTACACTGTGTGACAAGGAAATTACTGAAGAACTCTCCCATTACCTGCTTAATTGTACAGCCCTTGATGCAGAAAGGAAGGCCCTATATCAACAAATTAAATATACTAACACTTCACCCTACGTATTGCTTTCAAAAATATCAGCAAACAAATCTAAGGCAATAGCTTACTATAATTTTTTTAGATCATCATTATGTAAGGACCAGTCTACAAGTGAATGACTTTGAGACGAAGAGTAAAGCCAGTTCAATTTCTATGTAAATAACACAAAATGATTATTACCTTACCCAATTGGGGGAATCTGTATGGGGCAAGTCCCTAATAAAGGCTTTTGTGTGTGTCTTTTTGTCACACTCTCAATGTGGAATCTTTACATTATACTAGACCGCTTCAACCTGATATTGGATGAAATTAAGTGCCGAAACCTTTTTTTTTTTTTTGCTTATCCCTACTACACGTGGTACAGGCCATGATAATCATGGTGGGTAGAAGTAGACGACTGCTTTTAATGTAAGTGCACCACATGTATATACATTAAAAAACGAAAGAAAAAAAAAGATAAAAAGATCAGGTGTTGAAATCAATATTGACAATGGCATATCCTGACCAGGAGCACATGTGCTTTACAGAAGGCCAAATATCAGGGAACAGGCTAAATCAATATTTAGTTGATTTCTGTTCCACCAGATGGCGCTCTGCCTTCTGTAAAGCACATGTGCTCCTGGTCAGGATATGCCATTGTTAATATGTATACACATGTGAAAAGCAGTTCGACTTTGCATTTACAAAATGTGCCAGAGCCCCGTTTGGTTACTTGCACTCGCTGGTGGGGTTGGACTTTTGCAAAAATCGGGATCCATTGGAGCATTTTAAAATACTTTTCACTTCCTTATGTTCTGTTCATGAGTGTATATACAATAAGAATACATGTATATACAGTAGCAATGCGTTTCTTTATTCGTGCAAAGTACAAGCTTTCGTATCTTTATAATCCAGATATTACCACAGGATGCCTGTAGAAGGATTATAAAGATCCGAAAGCTTGCACATTGCACGAATAAAGAAACATATTGCTACGGTTTATAATCTTATTTTATATTTTATAGAAATTTTATCTTCTAACGAGTGTATATTGTTACCCAAGTCCTAATCCACTGTAATTTGTATTATATCGTTGTCACCACACTCCCCTGTCAAATATTGTATACTAGCCGAATAACCCGGGCAACGCCCGGGTTTACCCGATTAAATGTTTTATTCAAACAGTATTCGTTCCAATTATAAATTGGCGCCGTGGATGTCACTCTTGTGAAACGTCCCGCTCCAAACTTTACATGTACATTAGGTCAGCTGATATTACCTCCCATCTTCACCGCTAGAGGCGCTGCTCGCGAGCTAAGTAGAATAATTTGAATATATAGTTTTAATAATTGATTTATATATATTTTTTAAAATAGCTTATCGTCTTCCCCGTATTTTTTTACCTATGTATGGAAATTTTGGTTTGAATTAGTGAACTACTGCGAATTTGTATACAGGACATACAAACAAACAAGCAAACATACAAACAT